CATATATAAGGCAACTTAAAAACCTAAGATAAATCATTTTATTAGTCAAGCTATTGCAAGGGGAGTCTGGGAGCAGACACTGAACGTCAGAAATAATGACTGCATTAAAAAAGGCTTCATGAGAAATTTATGAAGTAGAATTTCTTTCTCCCTTTCCCCCCTTCTGGCATTATAGAAAAGACAAGAGAGTATTTTCCAGGAAAGTATAATAAACCCTGAATGGACCAACAAACCTTATTCTGAAATAAATGTAGCTTGTAAAATGTTAAATGAAATAGTTGGAGTTTTGCTCCTTTGGGGCTCTGTGTTATCTTTCATTACACAGAGTCAGTCCTTGAAGGTCAGTTGAGTAAATTATTTCTTCAAACCAGTTCTTAAGAAACTGAGATCCAATTTGTTAAAGAGGTAAAGGTGCTGTATGAAAGACTAGGAGACCACAAGCTCTTGTCGTCCCTTTGGCATGGAAGCTGACAAGATTTTGGGGTCAGCTTCTATCTCTCTCATAATCCAGGAAGAGGGAGCATTATGTAGGCCACCTTGAGTCATACAAAGTAAAGGCAGGGTATAAATCTAATATGTAAATAAATGATGCCTAGGAAGCTGGAGAATCAACCATTCCTTTCACAAAATGGGGAAAAGAAGATTTTTGCCTTTGTGAATGTGTACATAATCCACTTTAGCTAGGCAGAACTAATCTGTGAGGCAATGCTGTTTAGTCCTTAAGGAATATAGGAGCTGGAGAAGGGGTGAAGTCTACTGAGTGACCTCAGGTACTTTAGTATCTGTTTGCCTAACATTGTGAGGGTATGAGCAGACACAGGAGGGATAGACTGGGCCTGATAACTGATTGTGTGTGTATGTGTAAAAATCCAGCATAGCTACCCATATTCTGATATTATCTGAGAATGTTTAGTCCATAGAGGAGTGGACTGAGAGATGATATGATAACAGCCTTGAAATATCCAAAGCGCTGACCCACAGAAGAAGGGGTGGACTTATTCTCTGTTGCCCCAGAAGGCAGGACCAGAATCAGCAGGTGAAGACTATAAGGAAGGAGGTTCAGATTAGATATCAGGAGAAACTTCCTGACAGTATGAGCTGCTAGCTCAAGAAATAGGCTGCCACATGAAGTGTGAGTTCCCATTTGCTGGAGATTTTCAAACAGAGGCTGAACCATCATCTGCCAAAGATACTCTAGTGCAGTGTTCCTCAACCTTGGCCTCTTAAAGATGTGTGGACTTGAATTCCCAGAATTCCCCAGCCAGCACATCTGGCTGGGGAATTCTGGGAGTTGAAGTCCACACATCTTCAAGTGGCCAAGGTTGAGAAACACTGCTCTAGTGGATTCTGCATTGAGCAGGGAGTTGGGTTAGATGGCCTCTATGGTCCCTTCCAATCTTATGATTCTGTGAAGCAACTTCAGATACTTCTGCTGCTTAAAAATACAATTGTGGAGCTATAAGCTGGTTTATCTTGGTAAACTGCATTACTACTTCACCAGCTTCTATGCAGGCACTGTATAATACAAACTTAAAGAGTCTGGGAACAGGTTTTCAGGAAGGATTGTTTAATTATATATGAACTGATGCACTCTGATTTCCTTTTGGTTTCTGGGACAATTGTGGGCAGGTAGAAGTGGACCTTCTTGAAAATGACACCACATTTTCAGAATTTCCTACCCCTACCTCCCAAGTCAATTTATCTAGCAGCTATCTGGATACAATTTAAAAATCTGGTAAAAACATGAAAAATCATTCACCATTTGCATTAGAGAATTACAGATAATATTATAGAATTATAAACATACAAATGCTCCTGTCCTCCTCCTTTGGGAATTCTTTTAATTGCCTATAAACAAAATCAAGAATTTTAGATAGTGGGCAAGGCATAGATATTTAAAATAATTTAAAAAAACAAGGAGGAATTCTATCTGAACACAAGCTTTTCAATAGGGTGCAACTATTAGAAAACTAATATGGTGCAACTATTAGAAATACTAGAAAAGTTACATTTATACAATCAGAAATAGCCTGTGTGGATGCATCTTGCCATTTCATTGATGAAGCTGTCTTTATCTCACATATTTCATGCCAAACAGTGTTGTAGGTCATACTTTTTACTTGTAGTTCCCCAAATTCAGTGCAATTCAATGGACACATATAGTTAAAAGGTCACAGATTATCAGAGTCATCTATGAAAAGTTGGACTGTGGACCATTATTGAGGTGTAAATAGCTATGTTCCCAGAACCAGGTTTTTTTTCTTCCCCATTTAGCTTCCTCTGGCCAACATTTACAAAGCAGCTTTGTTTGTTTGTTTTAATGCCACTTCTTGGTAAGCGCTATCTATTTTATTATCATTTTGATTTTGGAAGAAACTTTTGGAATTCCTACAAAGAAAGGAAAGAAGAGGAAAAAGAAAAGCACCATAAGTATACATCTCTGCTCTAGGGATTTCAGATTCTTTTCCTGGATCCCCTAAATTTAAACCTCAAAATAAGAAACAGACCTACCACGACTGTAGTACACAAATAACTTAATGCACACAAACATTCAGGAACTACATGGTGCTAAATATGCCATTCCATATGTCAGAGTTGACAAGACTTATTTCAACTGCACTGTGATATGAATAATTGTCTTTTTATCATTCATATTTGAATTCATAGAAAATATGATCTCGTATTCATTAAGTAAGCAATGTATAGAAATGAGGTGGGGGAGAATTCTCAGGCTAGTCTTTGCTGTGAGAATAGATGCAGTTTTCATCTGCAGAGTGTTGGAGTGATGCAGTGTCTCAAGATCACTGATTCGTTACTCAATACACTTGCAGGCTTTATACTGAGATAGCTGAAGTTTGGAAAGGAGGCCTGTTAGATGGAAACAATTTCTCATTTTCAGCAGTTGCTCTGGACCCAGGGGTCCCACTCCATTACAGATTCTTCTCTGCAATCAGACCATAACCACGTCACAAGCAGTCACTCTCAATCAACATCAATGTCTGGCAAGTGCAAAGAAGATAGAGAGTGACACTTCACCCTTGGCATAGTCAAAAATGTCATCCCTGCAAGTCCTCTTCAGCTGGCTTCCATTCATTCCCAATTAGCACTTCCTCTACAATAAATCAATCCCACACATATATAAGTTAAGACACCGCCAAAAACTAGAATCAAATAATATTCAACAAGGATTGCTGGGGAAAATGACAGGTCTCATATTTGAGCAAATTTAACTTTGTCAAAATTTCTCTAGGGGAACGATAGCAGGAGTATGTATAACTTAACATAATTACCACAAAGCTTCCATTTATAAGAACTGTTCCAGGATTACTGATTTTGATGACAGCCCTTTGTCAAACATGTGTTCTATTCCAGCCTTCAGTGTAGTCGTTTTCAGATGACATTAGGGTTCCTCAGAAAGAAGATCCACTGTCCTGTCCTTGCCCACCATGAGCCACCTCTGAATGCCATGTGGCCTGCAGATCACTTTCTAACGGCTGGCCAGCATGGCACATTTCATAACCTATGAACCCCTAAATCTTTCTAGGTACTAGGTTCCAGAGAAGACAAGTCACTGAGAAAGAGATTCCCCAAAGAGAAAGAATTCAACTCAATCAGGCTTGGGGCAAATATAAGTCTCAAGGGTTTTTTGCTCCTCTGAGAAATGTTCTTACCTGCCCTTCTCCAACCATCTCAGTATCAATAACAGTGACAATTCCGGGGACCAAGGGGCTGCGTCGAGTATTGCTGTGCGCTAAGATTTCTTCTTCTGCTGCTCCTGATGGTGAAGTGCCCGTCAGCTGGGTTACAACTTTTCCAACCATGGTGAGCCCAGTTTTTATTGTCTATTAAACAAACATACAAATAAATAAATAAATGGCAGATAACATAAAACTCATTTTAACCATTGTACTTCTTTTGCTATGCAAGTAATTCAGTAAATGCCCATTATAGCAAAAGGTGAAACATTTCACATTTCTAAATGGACCAATTTCAGATACAAGTAAAATGCGCAATGAGAAAATCAGAATATTGTAAAAGGTGTTTGGACTGCTAACCAGAATCAAGTACTATATGTAAGATAGAGGATCCTAATGTTTGTAGGGGGTTGATAAATCCCAGAGCTTGAGGCTCCTTGCACAATGCTGGTCCCTTGTGCACCTGTGGCTTCTTCTGTAGGTCTCCTTTCCAGAAAAGAGGTAACTATCTCTTTTGCCCTCAACCCTGATTACTATAATCAATGTTTCTGCCTTCTACCTCTCTATCTTCTTACAATGCCATCCTCAGAATCAAGCAGCTTGAAAGTCAGCCTTCATCTTGAACAAACTTGCTCAGGCACTAAGCTACAGGTCCACCATCAAGAAATGGTCAGCTTTCCATGAGTTTTTTGGAAGCCTTTGGAATTCTCTCCCTATGGAGACCTTCACCCTAAGGTCTTCTGAAGACTTCTTTGATCCAAACTGATTGTATCTGATGTTTGTATCTGGTGTGTAGTTTTTACTGCTAATGACAGCTTTTTACAAAATGATGGTTTGCAACATTAATATAAAGTTGTTTTCATACACTATGAGCCAACTAGAAAGGGATAACCTTAAAGAGCAACCTATAAATAGAGAAATAAATACATTGTTCACATTTTGATGCCGCAATTTGCTAGAAGAGGGACAGGAGATTTGGTGCCCTCCAGAAGTTTTGGACTACAGCTGCTCTTAGATCCCACCAGTGTGGCCAATGCAAGACTGCAGGAGCTCCTGAAACATCTGGAGGGCACCCACTATGCTTGCCCTTGTGCTAAACTGACATCAATCTTCAGGTTGAACCTCTACTTCTACATTCCACAAAGTGAAAAATGTCTTGATTGGGAGGAAATTAGATGCATCTCATCTCCCATATTCATACATTCAAGTACCCAAATACAAGTACTGATGCACCAGCCTACACGTGGCAATTAATTTTCATTCCGTGTTTCTGCTGATCTCCCTTGTGGTTTTCATAGTCAATAGAGGACAGGGATACTGCAGAGCAAACCAATAACATACAGTCAGGGAGGAAAGAATCAATCTGTTTCCTGTCTGTTGCATTTATGGTTCATTCCATCTCCCTTCCTCATTAATCTTAATTTTTTAAAAAATCTGCACAAAAATCCACATTTAAATGTTATTATTTTTTCTCAAGATATGGACATCTACATGCAATTCAATATTTTCTGAGCCATGGATTATACTGGAATATCCTGGCAATGCACAGTCCAGTGGACAATTAGGTTCCCATACTGGCATTAGTCCAGGACATTGCAGAAAAACACCATTCATAACAGATTTCTCAAATATTTAATCCCAGAGGGGACCAACAAAGAGTTAAGGTGGTGGGTAATAAGCTTGGGCTGTGACATTTCTGCTGGCAAATGTTACATCAAATCACAAAGGTGGAGGGTTCCTGGGGAATCACTTATAGGTTTTTTCAAATATTATCTGAAATCTTCCCTCCTGTAAATTAAGCTTATTAGATCTTGGGCAATTCAGTCTTTGTCTATCCAGCAATCCTTTGGGTATGCAGAAACTTGGAGGGTATGGAATCAAATGGGAGGGCCATGTTCACCATTTCTACCCCAAAAGTCTAGTATCAGCTCCATTTTCCCAGGATAAAGGAAGGCGCTCCAAATACAGCGGAAACATCTAACAAAGCTCCCTGTTCAAATTCGAAGGTTTGTGGGGAAGGGGGAGAATCAGTTCAGATCATGGGCTAGAGCAGAATCCACAAATCAATTGTAACTGCTTTGTTTAGTGCTAAAAACTCAAACTGCAGTGATTAGAAAACACATTAGTGTTCATCAATTAGCAGCTGAGCATTTGCCTTGAATTATTCATGGGGAAATGACTTACACACAAGACTCGGCTGGTGTGTTGTCAGGAAAACCTCTGCAGAGCCAACAGAACCAGGCGCCATTCTGTATTGACGGCACCGATCCAGCCAGGAAGCCTGATTAACCTCTGAGATGCCTCCGTTGATGTACTTACCCCATTAATGCTAATGGAGATGCTACCACTTAAAAAAAAAAGTTGGAGCCAGCCAAACCTTTATCAAAGGATAGGTCTCTCGGTTTTTAACATCTCTTAGCAATAGACACATACTGTCCTTTGGGTCTTGTCCTTCCCACTCCACCCCCGCCCTTTTAAACTCTCCCAAGAAGTGGAAGAAATAAAATCCTTAAACAATTGGCACACTGTCAGCTTCTCAGAAAAAACACCCCCACATCCTACAAATGCACATAATGTTCTCAGCCTCAATGGGCTTGATCATCAAAAATCTCCTCTGCTTTCTATGCACTTGAGTTTGGACCAGGCTGGAGTTGTAAGCAGCTTAAATCTAGGCAAAGAGGCGGCACTTCAAGGTGGAACAACTGGGAGGTTGAAGGAAGAAGGCCACATTTAGCTGACTAAGAAGAATGATCAGCTTCTACTTTTCCAATCCAGTGTGGCCCATCAAAAACTTTATACTGGCTGCCAATGGCCTGCACCTATTTCTTTTGCCTGGCAACCACAATCCAAGGAATACCACAGAAGCCTTCAGCTTCCAAACATGAGGCTGGATACTGAAGTGGGGGAGTGAATATAGCTTTGGCTGGATGGAGATCAACAAGTTGAAGTTTAGTCCTAATTCACTGTTTTCTTTATATATGATGGTATTCCATTGTACTCAAAAGCAGAAGCATTCTGAGAAGTTCAGAAAACTAAAACATAAGCATTTGAAACATTTAACTTAGATTAAAAGAATGACCCCATAAATGAAAGGGGGGGAAAGCAGAGGAATAGCAACAGGACAAATATTTAAAAACAAATAATGAAACTTTTTAAACAAGATTGAAAACTTGGTGACAAAAAGACTGCAGCATAGGCACCAGGCACCTAATGGACCTGTGCAAATCATTCAAAAAGGCAGCCCGGTGGAAGATGTCTTCTAAACAGGCCCATACTTGCCCAAAAGACCTTGGGAGGAACTTGGAAGAGTGTGCAAAGCTTTGGAGCAGCTGGGACTGCCTCATGGCGTCAAGACAGAGATACAAAGAGGTACTCTGCTCATCAGATGTTTGGCACAGGGCTAACAACCCAGGACCCACCACAGAAAAAGTGTATTTTGGAGAGTGAGCCAACTTTGAATTAAGTTGAACCAATATACATAACCCCACATTTAAGAATGGGGAAACTGGACTGACAGGAAGATGGAGGGAGTGAGATTTCCTATATCTACAAAATATTCCTTTTCCCCCAAAACTGCCTACGAATGATCCTACATAATTATTCTGACAATGCATTCTTGGGCTGGTGACGGCTGGGGAATGGTAGACTTCCCAATCACTTAAACTGGTAAGGTAGTTGGAAATGAAGCCAGCTTAAGAAATCTTTTTCTAACTTTCAATTCTTTCCTTTGCTTTTACCATGGGATGTCGTGCTGGTTACCAGCTTGGCTGGCTTCAAAAAAGGGTGGGACCAATTCATGGAAATCATGGGGACCAATGGCTATTAAACTTGAATGCAGTGGGACTGCCTCTGAAGGCCATCTGCTGGGAGACTAGTGGGCTTCCTGGTGCAATTGGTTGGCCACTCTGAGAACAGACTGCTGGACTAGATGAGCCAAGGGTCTGATCTAGCAGGGCACTGCTTATGTTCTTCTGTTTGGCCATGGTGATGGCCTAGTGTTCTATAGGGACAGTGCTTACCATGGCCCCTGATTCCTGGATACCCCAACTGGTGGATTCCCATGCCAGGAAAGCTAGCACTAATTGCCTTCCTTTCTGGAACAGGTCTTTGAGAATGTGTGGGTTCCATTGATAGACTTTTTGTATGAGCCCCCTCCATTAACTCCCCGACGTTCTTGTTGTCTTCCTATCTGCTGCACCCTCCAGTGGACAAGTTAAAACAAAAAGGATGAAGAAAACTTCCCCACTGTTCTGTCATTTGAGCTACAAGAAGAAACTGGCAAAACTCTGGTCAATTTTACCACATTGAATGAAAGGGGAAAAAAACCCAGGTTCACTGGCTGAAGTCTGTCCGGAAGGGAGTGGGTGGCTTAGCACAAAATTGCCATAGAAGGCAGCAACCAGTGACCAGAAGGGAGGGGGCCTTCTGTCAGAGCACACAGCAGCTAGTTGGAATGGAGGCATTTGCCTACAAGTAAATGAAGTCCAGCACATAAAACTTATAGTATTGTTTTTGACACGCAGCAAGAAAAGATGATTGATGTTGCCTTCCTGGCAGGCTAGGAGTGAGCAGAGGACAACCTAGTGCATTCCTGCCATCAAAAAAAATGGTTAGTGGCCCACGGTGAAACTAGGACAAGCTGGTCATACAGATCAGCCCGTGCCATTGTTGCTTTGGTAGTCTCTTGAAGTGATTGTTACCCAGTGCTTATGCCACATCAGGCTGTTTTTGAAAGGGCTTTAGAAATTGGAACTGCTGCAGAATGTCATAGCTAATCTTTTAAGCCAAGCACAGAACATGGAAAAAACACTCATATTGTGATTGTGCAACTGTTTTTGAAGCCTAATATGATCTGGGTTCTGTAACTAGGAGAGTGTATCCTCTGAACTGTTCTTCCTGCTCCATCATATTTGATGGAGAGGAACTGCTTTGGGTTCAACATTTTACTGATTTAAGAGCTGTTTGGGGGGCTCTCTGTGGTGGAGCTCACCCCTTGGAACCAACATGTGACTTTTTAGAAATCAATTCCCAGTTCTTAATGAACAGCCAAACTTCTGCCAGGGGTTATATCAACACTGGTTGGCTTCTATATCTACGCTGGTATGCTTTAAATATTAATATTGTTTATCACACTGTACACTTCCTTG